CGGCCTCGTGAAAATTTTGGCGGGTAAACTATTAACTCGAGAATCACGGAAAGATATTCATCCTTCGAGGTTTCGAATTTTTAACTGTTCCAGTGTTTGAGCTATTTTTGCATAGACTAAAATACAGAGCAGTGAAAATCATTAATAGACAGTCGTTCGATGGACTGAATTGCACAAAACGCATGATCGCACCGGCTAGTCTGGTGCGCGTTGCCATTTATTATTGCTGAGAAGTGGTTCTCTCGTGTAAAATGAATGCCGGTAGAAGTGAGGCAGTTTTCCTCGTGCGCTGGAGACTCCAAATTGACTACTCAGCTCTTTATTGGAACGAAGCACGGGCCAGCAAAACGCTTGGTACTTATTGTCCAGAGGGCAGAGTTGTGGGTAGAATTGTAGGCCTCATGTTTGCAAATATTTACGGACCTGAAAGGGATCGAACTTCATGATCTTAATGTTTTTTCAGGACCCTGTTTGTTGTTTGAACGCAAAGCTGGGACAAATAATGCTGAAGCTGAAAGGTTTTATGCTTGTGCTGTCTATCGGTCACGCAGAGTATGTCCATATCGGGTAAACGTCACTGGTGAGAACATTTCGGGTCATCACGTTTCAGAAGATGCTGTTACAGGAAGTGCACTGAAGTCTTCCTTTTGTTACGCAAAAATACGTAGAAAGTGAGTTTTTACTTGATACTACAAGCCCACTCAGGCGGGAACTGTGTTTGGCTGGGAAACAGCACCGTAGAATCCATATTTGAGTTCTTTCACTACTATAAACTACCCTACTGCTGAGAGAATCCCTTCATTTTTAGGATGTAGCTAAAACTGGATGAAAAATGAAGAGAGTGAGAAAAGATGCTGCCGACGATTTCACGTAAATAGAGGGATTGATGCCTGTCAGTGAGATATAGTCTGTTTGGCAGGCATAACATTTTTTTTCATCCCAGTCCGAATACCGATCGACAGAAAAACAATACGATCCCCTTACCGCTTAAGCCTTTCAAGGCCTGCCTTGGGATGGCAATCCTGAGTTAGATTGAAAAGGTGGCCCTAGAAGTTGAGTCATGCTTTACGGAGTTTTGATTTCGAGCAAAGGAATGCTGCAGGAGTTCAATGCACAAAGTAAAGAAATGGGTCTGAAAATTGGCGCATTGAAGACGAGTGTGATACCGAATGTCATTATGCTCACAGTTAGACTGCTATTTCGACTAGAAAGAAGTTGACAGCTGCATCTGTCTTGGGAAGGAAGTAATATGCGTTACAGTATCCGCTGCTGGCCTGCTCAAATTTCATAACAGCGTCGGTGCTCTCTAAGTGACGAATGCGAAAGAGTGTGCCCACCTCATCAGTTTTACTCTGTTGAAGGCAGTGGCATAGAGATGCAAACGTTGCCACTGATGAAAACTTAAGAGCAAACGCTGCTGTGACGGCGGCGGCGGCGAAGTTTCCTTGACTTGTCTCTCGATAACTATATAAATAACCAGACTCTTCGTCAGATGAGCAGCCTATTGCGACCATGCAAGAAAGTAAAATCTGATGGGCAGTGCTTGCTCCTCATCTTGCCGGTAACCGACACACGACTTTTGCAAACGTGGCGCACATATAACAAACAGGTAATGGGCAATGGATGGAGATGTGCAGCCTTGGGACAAGGGGCCTGATATAATTAGGTACACTTGTGGATGCATCCCAGTAACGTATAATAAAGCAGTGCACGGTTAGTCTTGTTGCACTTGCTTTGCATATTGAGACTGCGGTTAATTATATTTTCTCAGTAGTTCCTGACAATACAGACTACACTGCCAATAGATTGCGTGTTCTGCATAAATTTCAAGTTATGTATTATTTCTTCGGGAACTTTTTTGATCGGCTTTGCGCTTTAGTAGCATGGTCTTTTGCACCTCTCTAACATATTCGCACCAACTGTATGTACCCATTGAGAAGCGGCAGCTACGTACAGTGCAAATTTCTAATTTTTTCGCTCTTATTATATTGGCAATTAAATTTTTCTGCATTCCCCTTGTTGTCGGCTAATTGCAGAATTGAATTTCCTCAAAAGGCACAGAAAAGAAAAGTGTTAAAATGAAAATTGAATGATCAGTTAAGGCGTCACCTTCGTTGGATAAGTTTGCATTTATCTTGCTAAGGCGTTCATATTATCGAGCGTTTTAACCTTTTCTTTGTCTATAAACGATCAAGTGGGATCAATCCATCGCACTGGCAGTCATCCAGTTTCCATATATATGGCAACTGAATAATCGAGCCTTTCTTTTCTGTCCATTCAGTAGTCCGTTTTGTCCATGTGTTGTCTTCCTTTATTAAGCGTTACTGAATATTACATTTTATAGTAGGTAATTTTTATTTTTGTATGAAATACCTCCGCGACTAAATTTCGCAAAACGATTGTTCGTTACAAATTTGAACGGAATACCGTCCCTGTCTTGCTACTTCATTTTAAGCTTTGCAGTTTTAAATTGAAGAGTATACGAGGTTGGGCATATTTGCAGAGTGAACTCGTGGAAGAACAAAGCTAAATATTATTGTTCAAAATGCAACGACATCTTTCTCCTCCCCCATGTTCATCCATTGAAAGGACCGGTCAGTATAGCCGAATTACGGCGTCCAACGCAGCTACTTGCCCCGCTTACACAGAAACATTCAGAAAGTGTATGCTTTGGTTTATCATTTTTTGTTATAGAAAAAGTGGGCGTGCGCTTTACAGATTTTTGCATCGCATATCTTTCTTCAGCTTGTTCGTTTTTCGGCATAAGAATCCTTGTAATTTTCTTTTTTCTCTGAAATTAATTCGCTAGTATGTATCAAGTAATTAATTCGCTAGTATGTATCAAGTAACAAAAAGAGAGGTTGGAAAAGGCGTGGGATCTGAATTTATGCAAAATTGAAGCCTGGAATTAATGCAGAATCGGTGGAAATAAGAAGTGATTTCGAGATCAGCGGGTATCATAAGGGATGATTTTGAGGCAACTTCCAAATAAGGAACTTGCACAATTTTGTAAGGCCCTCAGGTAATTTTCGAGTTGCCTTACCGACAGTGAAACTTACATAATGACGTGCAGTTCGATGAGGTTTAATGATTTTTCATACTGTTCGTGCAGCAGGCAAGAATTTTTTGAGATTTCTTATCGTTGCTGCATCACCTGATGATTTTAACGAGCGCTGTAATGGACATTTCCTTTTTATGCGTTTTTTGCAGTTATGCAGTGTAGAAGACGCATATTGACGAGTCTGTGTGTCCGCGTATCTGTGCGTCTGTACCGATTTTTCATCTCAAGACCTACAGAAACTACAGGGCTGAGACTTTGGAAACTTAATCTACATGCACGTACGGGTCCCAATCCCTAAAACGGGCGTCCTTACCCGCGTGGTACCCACGCACAAGCCTCCCAAAATTTTTTCCGGGTGAGTTCATAACTCGGGGGTCTGAGAAGCTAGAACGCTGAAATCTTAGGGCAATTTTCCCCTTTCGAGTAGGTATTAACGAGTTTAAACCCTACCTGCGGGTAAGGATATTGCCTACGTACTGGCCCGTGAGAGTTTCTGTCAGGTAAGTTGCTAACTCGGGAACGTGAGAGGCTAGAAGACTAGAATTTTGAATGACAGTCCTGGCGTCCAGTTTGAAATTCTTTTAGCTAGAAGTATCTCCCGGAAAAACCAGTGCCGTTAGCGACAAAAATCTCTGGGGAGCTATGCAAAAAACGCATCCTCGCACGGGCAGCTCGTGCTTTGGCCAATTATTTTCCTTCTGTTTTGGGAAGGTAGAGGTATATCCAGTCCCAGTGAATTCGGAACAGCGAAGTATTCAAAACTTCTAGAAATATGCATTGTTGCAGCAGTACTGGTTTAGTGATGAATCATTGCGTGTTTTGCTGGTTGGCATTCGGAATTCTCGGTGCAATGGCGTTTTATGTATTGGAACTCCGACTGTGTTCGAATATCTTCAAAGCAACAGAGAGCTTCGAGCAAACTGCAAATCATTTTTGCTTGACATCGATTCCCGATTTGTTAGTTTCTTTCTTTTAGCTCATTTTATCATTTTGGCTACATCTACCTTTGTTTCTTGATTTGGCTTCTTCCTTTTATTCATGTATTATATGTACAGCACGACACCTAGCTTTTTAGGAAGGTGGGATGAGCCGCAGACACTGCCCCCGCCCTCCCCGTGCTCTCCTTATTGTTAATGTAGTTTATAAATAAGGTAGGCTTGGGTTTTTAGATTTTTAGTAGTATTTTGCTTTTTCAAGTTGGTACCAACGTCTGTCTTGCCGGATTTTTCGTCATTCTCGGTTGAATGTGGCAACTGCAAATGGCATATCGAAAGGGATTAGTTGCTGTTTTTTGCGTTCTTCGATAAGATAACAAGATTGTTCGTGCGAAGGGTAGATTGGGGAAAAGGATTTAGACGGGTGCAATATTGGGCCAAAAAAAGGGCAAAAATTAGCTAGATGTTACAAATCTTTTCTAGAAGGACGCGAAAAGTATTAATATTTACTGTGGCAGTGCATATAGCAAGCATTAAAATTCAGGAGCGTTAATTTTTTCCCCAATTATTTGCACAAAAGCTAAATGAGCCGTCTTAAATTTGAAATATGAAATTTTTATATCGGATGCCAGAAATTCATTAAGTTCGTTTATGAAAACTTTTAGGTACCTTTCTTTCGAAGCAGCCACTTCGCAGTATACAGCATGCTGACGAACCATTTTTATGATTCGAGAAGCACTG